GAAGCGAGAATCACCAGACTTGGTCTCACCTACTTTGTTCATGTTGTCAGAAGGGACCATGCCCTGGAGAAGGATGTCATGCTTGGTAAGGTGGAGGGTTGACGAAAGAGGGGAAGGCCTTCAACAAGATGGATTGACACAGTGGCTGCAATGATGGGCTCAAGTATAGCAGGGATCATGGAGCTGGTGTGGGATTGAGTGGTGTTTCATTCTGTTGTACATGGGGTCACTATGAGTTGGAAACGACTTGACAGCACATAACAACAACAACTACACAAAAACATTATTCTACATCCTACTTTCATGACTAGCAACTGGAGTTTTAAAAGCTTGCAAGTGGCCATCTAGATACAATGATGGGTCTTTCCTCATCCAGAGCAAAGAAGAATGAAGCAAAGATGCATGGAAGCATGGAAACAATTAGTACAAGGTATGAGTAGACCATGTGATCCTCAGCCTATATGACCATGAGACCAGAAGAACTAGATGGTGCCCAGCTACCACTGTCAACCACTTGGAGGGGGAATTGATGTAGGAGATCCTGGAGAGAGTGGGAGAACAATGTGGAACAAAACTCAAAATCACACACACACACAAAAAAGAAGACCAGGTTTGCTTGTCTGATAAAGCCTGGTTAGACCCCTGAGATTATGGTACCTAGTTACCCTTCTGGTCTGAAACTGAACTCACTCTTGTGGGTTCCAGCCAACCAAGACAGACAGACATATGGGGTGAATATTTACATCAGGTAGATACATCCCTTGGAGCATACTGTGGGAGAACAGAAGGGCAGTGTTTGCACAGGGAGACAACTGGTGGGGGGTGTGTGGGAATGCGTGGAAGGACATAAGGAAGAGGTACCTATGGGGAGGCAGTGGATTGAGGGGAATTTCAGTCAATGTCACGAAACAAAATGTGTATGAACTGCTGTATGTAAAATGAATTTGCTTTGTAAACTTTCAACCAAATCACAATAAAAATTAAAAAAAAAATAACGTGTTGAAAAGCAAAGATGTCACTCTGAAGACTAAGGTGTGCCTAACCTGAGCTATGGTATTTTCAATAGCCTGATATGCATGTGAGAGCTGGACAATGAATAAGGAAGACTGAATAAGAGTCGATGCTTTTGAGTTGTGGTGCTGGCAAAGACTTCCAGAAGAACTACCAAATCTGTCCTAGAAGAAGTACAGCCGGAATATTCCTTGGAAACGAGAATGGCCAGACTTCATCTCACCTACTTTGGTCACGTTGTCACAAAGAACCACTCCCAGGAGGAGAAGATCATGCTTGGTAAAGTGGAGGGTCAGAGAAAAAGAGAAAGACCCTCAATGGGATGGACTGACACCATGGCTGCAACAATGGGCTCAAGTATAGCGAGGATTGTGAGAATGACATAGGACCAGGCAGTTTCATTCTGTTGTACATAGGGTCACTGAGTCGAAGCCAACTCAATACCACCTAACAACAAGAATATTATGCTGCACAGGTATCAGTGGAGCTTCCAGACTAAGAATGAGGAAGGAAGGCCTGGTGATCTACTTCCCAGTACCAAGGGCTAAAAACCCTATGGTCACAACCCTATGGATCTATAGCTGATCATGTGGATGGCACAATAGTGGGCAGCAAATGGTTCCTGTCGTGCACAGGGTTGCCATGAGTTGAGGGCCGACTCAGTGGCAGGTAATGACACATGCAATCTGAAAGCATGTACTCTGGCAACTGGCTTCTTTCATTCAGCATTGTATTTGGGGGATTCACTATCTTGTGTATACTTGTAGATTGTTCATTGTCATTGTAATACTGTAATTCATCCTGTGAATATACCAAACTTCATGCATTGTACTGTTGATAGTTGTCCGAGTAGTTTCCAGTGCTGCTATGAAATTTTAGTGCAAGTCTTAAGGGTGAAATTATGGGGTCATTTCTACTGTGTATGTAACAAGCGTGGAACTACAGGGTCACAGAGTTTGCATGTGTCCAGCTTTAGCAGCTACTCAGAACCACCTGAAAGGCACTTTTAATATTCAGTGTTATTTTCATCTTGTTTGTGGATTTACATCACTCCCCATACTTGACTGTAAGTGGTTTCTCAATTGTATAATACTATTCATGCACTGCCTCATTTTTAATTGAGGGGTCTGATATATAATATAAGAGAGAAAACCAAAGTGAAAAAGCAGGAAGGGAAATAAGGGCAAGGGGAAAAAAAGGATGATGTGAACTTAATATCCAAATACACTCCATAAGGCCTTCAGACCAAAAACCAAACTCACTGCCATCAAGTCAATTCCAACTCCTAGTGACCCCCACTGGGTTTCCAAGGCTGTAAATCTTTATAGAAGCAGACTGCCAAATCTTTCTTCTGTGGAGCAGCTAGTGGGTTCCAACTATCAACCTTTTGGTTAGCAGCCAAATGCCTTAATCACTACATCACAGAGCTTTTCACAAAGCTGGTCCACAAATGTGACTGGGCCTCCGATCACCCAAAACGTTGTTGTTAAGTACTTTCAAGTCAATTTTGACTCATAGTGACCCCTTGTGTCAGAGCAGAACAGTCTCACAGGGTTTTCCTGGCTGTAATTTTCACAGAAACCGATTGCTAGGTCTTTCTCACACAGAGTATTCTGGGTGGGTTTGAACTGCCAGTCTTTCAGTTAGCAGCCGAGCACTTGACTGTTGCACCACTAGGGCTCATCAGCCAATACAAACAGAGAAATAAGTTACACAATCCAATGTTCACAGTATAAAAGTACCAGCTGTTCAGCAGTGAGGCTATTTCTGGTTCTGAAATTTTAAAAATGCCAACCTGTTTTCTTTAAGAGGATATTGTTTGAGATATATATATATACATATATATATATATATGAATTCTGCAACAACTTCATTTCAGCAATAACAGTAAGACATTTTATCAGTACCCTGAAACATCCCTCAATGTTGACATGTCAAAGCACAGTTCACTAAAAGCAGTCTGTTACGGGAACTAATGCAATCCCGATACACAATTCTCAAAAGGTCTGATTAAATCCATGGGGTGCAGGAACCTCAGAATGTGGGTCAGGGAGCCCCAGGAGTCCTAAATGTCTTTCCTGGGGGTCTGCATGGAGCCCTGCAGGCATGGCGGTTAAGTGTTCAGCTGCTAAATGAAAGGCGGTTGCTTCTATCATCTCCTGGGGACACCGCTTTGGAAGCACGTGTGTGAGCAGCAGGGCCATCAGTCAATCCTCCTAAATGGCATCTCTCACGACCCAGCTTTTCCCAAGTGTGGGCAGAAGAGAGTATGGCGTTCTAAGAGCCATTCTTTCACAAGCATCAAGTCATCTAAGCAGGAGAAAAGAGCGCCTTTCTCTCTGTGCAGAGGTGGACCACAGAGACAGGGCTGGGACAAGGACTCCACGCAGAAGACAAATCTGGGGCTGCTCCAACCAAGACAAACAGGCACTGAGATGCCAAAGCTCTCCTCCACGGAACTCAGGTACTGTCATTTTTGCCTAGACACCTTCTAAGGCAGATGGCACCAAGCACTTGTCTCAGTCACAAAGGAAACCTCCACTGAGCACCTTTAGGATGCTAGGCTTTATGTTATGTAACTTCCGGGCACTCGTCCAAGGAAAACAGGGGTCAAATGTACCTCATGAGTCAACTTCCTACATTGGGTGGTTAACTGTAAGCAGATTAAATGTTAGGGAATGTTGTTGTTGTTGTTGTTTGCCATCAAGTCGGCCCCGACTCATAGCGACCCCTCCTTGGGTTTCCAAGGCAGTATCACTACGGAAGTAGGATTGCCCAACCTTCCTTCCGAGGAGTGGCTGGTGGGTTTGAACCGCCAGCCTTCTGGTAAGCAGTCAAGTGCCTTAGGCACTATGCTACCAGAGCTCCTTGTTAGGGAATACCTACCCAAAATTAATCTCCTCTCTTTTTGGCAGTAATTATATACCTGGGCCAGTTATCTGTTAAGAAAACTCCCAGTGCACATTAGTGAAATCATGTCATCAGGCACCTCATCCAAAGAGATCCTTTGGTAATGTGAGGGCACCCTGGCAGATATACAAAAATGAAGAGGATGTCTCCCTTCAAAAATCACAGATCTAGTGACGGGCTGGCCAGAGCACCAGGGACAAAGAGAGAAAGAAGTCTTCCAATGCATCTTTGCAGCACCTGTGTGGAATAGGAGTTGGATAAATGTTTGTCTCAACAAAGTTGCTATTTACATGTTTTTATTTCTCTAACATAGATGAATATCACCCAGTCAACTCTTCAGTTAATTATTATATAGCCAAATATTACTTCCTGGTATAGTTTACAAAGATTTAAAAAAAAAAAAAAAAAACTGGCCAAACCAAAATGAAATAAATCATTTTAATGCACATATTTTCTCACCTATTAATTCCACACTGATTTTGCCTATGCATGCAGACCAATGTAGCTCGGGTTGCTACATGTTTGTTTATTTTCACGTGGCACAATCCTCAACAAGAGAGGGCAGAGCTGACCTGCTTTTTCTCAAAGAGCACCAAGTACCTTTGTGGCCTCCGAGAGTTTCATTAACATTCACGTTTTCAAAGAGCCCTACGAGGCAGCTGAGCATGGTGGTTTTTCACCGAAATCTCTTATTTGGAAGATGGCAGAAGAGACTTGCATCTCCCAAAGTCCAGCAGTTGCTTGTATTCCTATCACAGCTCAGCTGGGTACGTGGTAAAGACTGAATACTAAGGAGAGCTACTCCAAACACAGCTGGGTGACATCGCTTCATTTTTAGAAAGTCGACTGAATCGTGAAAACCTTGCTAATGGTGAGATCCGCTGAAGCGTTCTTTTGATTCTTAAGAAGGGGATTAAGGGGGTGAACCTTTGTGCAGTGTTGTGTCCTAAGTACTTGCATTGACAGCATTATAGGGTCTCTTCTCCAGCCACCAGACCACAGGGAGGTGAGTTATACCCGCTCCAGAATCAACGGCATGAAGACGGCTACTTTCATAATCAGAACTGGTGATGGCTTTCTCACTTCCTGCCAAATGGATCAGACCACACTTTCAACCCTATGGAAAGAGACAAGAATAGAAACAGGAGTCGTGTGAAACTCCCTACCCTGTCCCAGCAAATAAAGTGCCATCGGAACTGAGTCGGACAATATGCGTGTCGTGTGAGAGAGTGCGAGCATGTGTCTGGGCCTGGACCAAAATGGTTGGAAGGCACTGCAGCCACAGGGGACTTTAAACGGCTTAGAAATTGCCCCACAACAGGAAGAGATGTATCTGGCCTAGTTAAAAGGAAGAAGAATGTTGTCACAGATTACAAGAGTTTTGGTTAATAAACTGGAAATCGTACATTCGCAGCCAACTTGGATCATCTTAAAGTAACTAACCACTCAGCCATAAAGGGAATGTCTGAGCTTTTGTATAAAGCAGAGCCCCCCACCCTGCCCCCATCAACTGAAACAGCTCACAAGAGAACAGTATTTCCCATGAGGGTAGCATTTAAGTAGGTGTTCTGTAAGTGACTCTGCTAAACAGCCATTCACGCTTCATATTTAATTGCATACTTGTTACATTTTCATGCCCACTTATCAAATGCAAAAGAGGAACGTGGCAAACTCCCAAACGCTATTCTGGAGTGAAATATTGAAATGAAGTCTTGGGGTGGCACCTATGAAGTGGTAACTGCTGTGAAATAAATAGTAAAATGTGAATCTGTTTTGTAAGCTAAAAAACATCCTCCCATTCACCGCAGCAAAGCCAGCCAACACACAAACACACTCCCCACCCAACAGTATGAATGAGGCCACGTTGTGATTTTTTTCACGCTTACCTGGCGGCTGCACATCTTCCTGAACAATCCCAGCCCGATTCTTGACTTGTGCTTTCTCTGGGAAACACAACAAAGTCCTCTTAGAAAGAGGGGAAAATGTCTTCATACTTCTATGGGACAGTGACATGGAGCAATTAGAAAACAAAATTAAATTCAGGGATGCCAGAACTGTAGACGTTTGTAGGCTGTGGAAGCGAGATCCTGGTCCTAAGGGCTAGCTGGGGATTTTCAATAAAATCAAGGACGCTGTACTTCGAAAGCAAGCATCCCCAACTCCCATCTTTCCTCTGTGACCTCAGCATTTCGGAAAGGCAACAAAATCACCAAAAAAAGAGCAATTCTGAAAAAACTGGTGGGTGTGATACTACGAAGGGAAAGCTGCTGAACTGAATGAACAAGCACAATTAACAAGAAGAAGATGTAGTTTATCTGTCTAAAATGCACTCCACAGAAGAGCTAGACTCAGAGCTAAATATGCTAGGTTTTTGATAGGAAATAGAGCAGAAAATTAATCTTTGGGTGGGTGGCTTTGGTTTGGGTAATTGAAGCTTCCCTAATTGATTGCAGGTGCTGTGCCAATTAGTGAGCGCATTTTAGCTACAGTGGCTAAGCCTGTCTCTTCGGAGATGCCCAACACGCCAGGGCCAAGAGAAATTGGGCATTTTATGTCTGTGGGCTTCAAGCACTCTGACACTTCCTTCTAAGTGGTTTAGAATAAGCTCAAGGTCTGTGAAAACAAAGACTTATTATTTTAAGTATCTTGACAAACAAATGACAGCTTTTCAGGAGAAACACTTGGAGGCAAAGGATGTTTACTAGTAAATAATAGTAATTAGATGTTGTAATCAGACCTGTGTTTTAATCTGGCTGACAGTGCTTCTTCAAATCCACATTTAGCTCTGACTTACTATCAGGAGATTTTCTTTATTCTGGCCTCCGGAATCTCACAGAGGCGCACAAGCATAAAGGTACAAGAGACAGGGTTTTGCCAAATCAAATATGCATCGAACTTGCTTCCCTTGCAATGTGACAGAAAGTCAATCCAAAATGACCTACCTGATAGTTTTATCAATGCTAAGTTTTGCCCTGGCAAATAAAACACTAGGCAATGGGGATTATGTGAATCCTGATATCCAATTCTAAGAGGGAGAGAGAGAAGACATCGCATAATGAGGCTGATTAGAGAGACCAGAGCCTGCCAGCTTCACTGGGCCTCTCTAGAAAGTGGCGCATGAAAGGCAGCTGAGGCCCCTGGACCAAGATAAGCCAAAGGTTTCTGCCAACTAGAATGGGTAACAGGGGAGACTGGTACATGTCAGACTTTCTGAAATAAGGCATCATGAAAGTATTTTCGTTTCCTAAGATGTTCAGTTCCTAGAGAATGGAGCCCTACATTCTGTTTACGTGGCAGTCACAAGGTATGGGTATGTCTCCAACATGCTCTTAGAAAACGCCAAAGGGTAAAGGACCACGCGCCATCAGTCTTGTCAGCAACAGACCTGAAAGGCCAAGAATCCACTTACTGATAATACCGGAAGAAGGGTGAGAGGATAGTTTGAACACAATTGAGAGAAAGCATGCTAAATCTTTAGACTTAAGAAAATCAGACATGCAGGTGCATGGAACAGGTTCTGACAGGCAGGTATTGCAAAACCACAGAAGCTAGCCAACTGCCAACCATCAAAGGAGGTTGGCTGCCCTTCGGTGGCAAGGCCAGAACACCTAACCACTTCTCAGTGGAGAACCAACTGAAGAGAAAGAGAGCCCTGTCTTCACATTTCCTTGTTAGTTGCTAATGAGGTTGGAGAGAGATTGAGGATTTGTTTTAAACAGGCCATAATCTCTTTATAATCCTTGTCCTAATGCCACCACCTCTGTAGTTTGCCTGGCCAGGCAATATAAACTGCTTTGCTGAAACAGTTCCTACCAATGATAACTGGGTATCAGCATCCTATCTACACCTCTGAGCTCTTTAATTCATTAAGGTTATATAAATACTCGAAGGCTGACACAGTCTTCTATAAATTCACAGTACGACACAGAGGCATTTTATTTGTGAATGTGGAATATGCTGAAAAGAAAGCAGACCCTGGTCCCTGGGGACTGTGCAAGCCCATTCTGATGAGGCTGACAGCAGGCTTCTCTTGTGCTATCATTGGAGAAACAGCGAACGTGCCCAAAGCTCAGGGAAAGGGCACCCGCAGAAGCCAGGGACTTAACCATGTGAACAAATCAGGACCAGCTAATTATCGACTTAGCAGTGAGCACGTTTCCATCAGGAGTGAAATGATTAAAACGCAAATATGGAACACTGGGCTCCAAGTTCTGTATGGAAGGTTACAAAATTCCCTACTCTCATGTCTCCGCAAGCCCGACTCTGCCCCCTGGTGCTAAGGCAATGGTTTGATTTGTAGTATTACTTGAGGATTTTTATCTCTAGTCAAAGAGCCAAGGTGTATTATTAAAACTGGTAATGTATGCGGACAGGCTGATTTTTGTCTAGTAGTAAAGGAATACACCCAATCATTTCTAAGTCCTTGAAAATGAAAACGTATCTTTATATCCAAGCTCTATATTGTGAGATACACTAACTACGTGACTTGTTATTTTATTCAGCATTTACAACAGTTCTGGTGACACAGTGTACCTAAGCTCTGGAAGCAGTCTTGTAACTCGCTAGTGGAAGGTGCCCAGTGGAGGCCTAGCAGATAAAAACCTAAGAACCAGTGCAGAACATGACATCAAGAGGCCTACCCAAGGAGAAGACAATGTCCCTCATCTCCCCCTGCCAACGCAGTTAAAATAAAAGTAACTCACAACTTCACTCAAGTTGATCTTATAGTGAAAGGAATGAAAAACATTTTCTAAGCCCCAGGCATGGAATAGGGAAAACGCCTTCGCAAGGTAAGAATTCCCCAAGTAAGAATTACTTCTCCATAAGGCAATTTCCTGAAACCCTGTTCTACGACTGTCAAACATGCATTCACTTCGGGGCAGCAGGGGGTGGCAGAAGAGGACAGGGGCTGAAAGAAGACAACTGGATCTCCTCACAGCTCCTTCATCGTAACCTTTTACATTGCTGACTGTTAAAACTCCTCTGCTGTCTTAAAGGCAATCTAAGACAGGACTTTAAGCATCAGACCAGGGCAGGGCAGGTGGAGTCCAGTGGGCACCCAGCAATCGATGTGCTGGCTGACTTGGGACAGGGAACCTAAATGAGGGGACTGACAGAGCTCAAGTCCCTTGTGGAAAAACCCCTGGGATTTCATGCTTTCACACATCCAATGAAAATGAAAAATGAACAGAATCACAGAAACGGTCTTACTCTCCCTCATTTTACAGCTTGGCCTCACATCCTAAGATGGCATATGCGATTTTTACAAGGCCATGCTCAGGATCACTGTGTAGTTCTGGGCTACAAGGACAGCTTAGCATTCTAGTTACAATATCTGTACTGCTCCCTCAACACAGGCTCTCTCGATAAACCACACTGTGCCAACAGAACAAAAGATAAAAAGCAACAGCTGGGGTCCCTCCAGACGCCCAGCATAACTGTACACATACAGGTTCCGGTTTGGGATCACTGACCCCCAATGCCAACTGTCACCTCCCCAGTGTGCATTTCAGTACTGAGGTACTGTGCACAGAAGGGGGCCTGTATTCCACGTAACACTTAGTGAAGTCTTACTGGTTAATGAAAGAGCTGAGAAGCACAGTGAGCGTCACCATGAAATTCAACAAGGCAATCCCAGGGAAGATCTCCTTGGCCTTGTCCTACCTAAGCAGTCTTACTCTTCTTTCCTGAGGCCTACAGGCCTGTTCCAGCAGAGCCCCTGGAGCCTCCATGTCCCCACTGTCCACGCCCCCAGGCAGCCAGCATCAATCAAGCTGGCCCAGCTGAAGGGTCCGTACCGACCTGACACTCGGATTCTATGTGGACTGGGCTCCTCCCTTACCAGAGCTGGCTCCAATCTTGCTTTCACTAGCAACTCTGTTCTCAAGGCCTGGACCTCTGCCCTACCTTTCTGAGAACTGTGGGCCTCTCCTTGGTATGCCCAGAATCCTGGGGTATAAAAATGTATAAAGGACAATCAGAGGGGAAGACTCAACAAGTGAGGCTAAGGAGTGGCTGAAAAGGCAGAAACACAGAAGGGGCTGGTCACAGAAGCCAAGGGGAGAGAATGCTTCCAGGAAGGAGAGTCTAGCACGGAGGCTGTGCCTCTTAGTCCCAGATCTGGCCTCTGACATCACAAACAGAAAAGCAGCCATTTCCGGGAAGTGCCCACGACTTCCCAGCATCGAGTCTACATTTAGCTGCATCACACCTGCCCTTCCTTTGGAGCTAATGGAAGAAGTGCCCAGCCTTTAGTCCAAGGCTCCCTCCCCAACCTCAGCTCAAGATGCCATGCCACCTCCCATTCTGGGGTTTTTCCTCTCTCCTCAGCCATCTTTGGTCCAGAGACTCTCCCATCTTTCCCAGCCAAGACTAAAAGTAGAACAAAACTCTCTGTAGATCCCCGGACATACTTCAAATATTACTTAGTCATTCTTTTTATACCCAAGCACACACACACACACATATGTGTGTGTGTGTGTATATTTAATATTTGCCATGTGTCTTTAAATAGTCAATGGAGATGTTTGATGTACTTTGGGATGTTTCAACAAGCGGATGCAATACAGGAAGCGCTCACTCGTCTATGCCAAGAGAGTTGCTACACAGCCAACCACTGGAAGAGATCCATGTTTGTGCCCACTGCAAAAGAAGATGATCCCACAGAAAGCAGAATTATCAAACAGGATCATTAATATCCCACACAAGTAAAATGTTACTGAAGATAATTCAGCAGTACACCGACTGCCAGAAATCCAAGCTGGATTCAAAAGAGGACATGAAACAAAGGATATCATTGCACCGATCATGCAAGGGCATTTGGCTGTGTGGATCATAACAAATTATGGACAACACTGGAATGAGAATTCCAGAACACTTAATTGTGCTCATGCAGAACCTGTACGTAGACCAAAAGGCAGCTGTTTGAACAGAACAAAGGGATACTGTGTGGTTTAAAATCAGGTTTGAGTCAGGGCTGTACCCTTTCATTACACTTATTCAATCAGTATGCTGAGCAAATAATCCGAGAATCTAGACTACAGAAAGAATGTGACATCAGGAGAAAGATGAGGCAGTCTGCTTCTGTAAAGATTATAGCCTTGGAAACCCTATGGGACATTCTACTCTGTCCTATGGGGTTGCTATGAGCTGGAGTCAACTTGATGGCGGTGGGTTTTCTGGTACGGTGCTACGATGTGGCCGTGAAGAGCACTGGTTCTAATTCCACATCTGTGACTCATCAAATGGGGAGGATGATCATATTACAGCCACTTCAAAGGGTTTTTATGGGAATTAAATTGGCTACCACATACAAGGAGTCCCTGAGTGGTGCAAATGGTTAATGTGCTGGCTGCTAACCAAAAGGTTGGTGGTTCAAGTCCATCCAGAGGCACTTGGGAAGAAAGGCTCAGTGATCTACTTTCAAAAAATCAGCCATTGAAAGCCCTCTGGAACACAGTGTTACTCTGACACACATGGGTCGCCAAGAGTTGGAGCCGTTTAGACAGCAGTTTTGTTTTGTTTTGTTTTGTCCTCATTTATTATAGCAAATGAATACAGGCTCACATCAGCCAAGAGAGATCCAAAGGGCAGAGTCTAAGACAGTTCCAAATATGGAACTTCCAGTTCTGGTTTGGTTTGTTTTTGACATATATGAAGTGCAGAAGAGTACCAGTCATGCAGTCAACTTTCTATAGGTATCAAAAACCAAACCCACTACTGTTGTGTTGATCCCAACTCATAGTAACCCTACAGACAGAGCAGAACTGGCCAACAGAGTTTCCAAGGCTCTGTAAATCTTTATGGAGGCAGACTGCCACAACTTTCTCCAGTGGAGTGGCTCATGGGTTTGAACCACTGACCTTCTGGTTAGCAGCTGAGCTTTAGCCACTGCGCCATGAGGACTCCTTTAATAGATATTAGCTGTTTAGAATTATCCATGATTGTCTGAAGAATCAGTTAGGATTCCCAGGTAAGGTCTGGCTGAAGTCATTAAAACGGAACCAGAAAAGTCAGCAGGCATAGGCTGCGGTCCAGTTCAAAATGCAGACATGTAGCCACACTCACCAAATGTCCCCCTAACTGACCTATTTGTATCTCTGAAGTGACTGAATGAGACAGCCAGGGATTCCCGAGTATCCCTTTAAGGCTGATGGGGTCCACAGCACAAACCCACACCTGGATCACATGATCTGGGCAGGATTTCTCAAGCTTAGCACAACTGCCATTCTGGGCCAGGCCGTTCTTAGCTGTCGGTGGCTGCCCTGTGCACTGTAGCAAGTTCAGCAGCATCCCCGAGTCTACGCAATAGATGCCTATAGCACATTCATGTCCCTCCCCCAGCTGTGACACAAAAATGTATCTGGACAGAGCCGAGTATCTCCAGGGGGCACAATTACCCCCGTGGCGGACCCCTAACCTAGTTTTCATTACCGAAACTTCTCTAATGGGATGCACAGCAGAACCCCTTGGTCCCAAATTCAACTCTACCCACTAATCCAGTGGATTCCAACTCAGAGCCATCCTATAGGCACAAGGAGAACTAATCCACAGGGTTCCCAAGGCCGGAATTTTTACAGGAGCAGATTTCTAGGTCTTTTCTCCTGTGGAGCAGCTAGTGTTTGACCCCTGACCTTTCAGTTAACAACTGAGCGCTTAAGCACTGTACCGCCTGTCTGCTTCTGTAAAGATTTACAGCTTTGGCTCCTTTAATTCAACTCTAGAGGTCATACATTTAAAAAAAAAATAGCTTGGGGCAGGGATCCAGGAAGGTAGGATGCTGGAGATGGATTATTCCAGGCTTCAGCCGGCCCCATGCTGACCCCCATGCATGGTGCATGCTGATAGGCTGGAAGGGAGACCACAGAGACCCCATCTGTCTTAACTGATGAAAAAGCTACAAAAAATGTGAGGTGTACTTAAAACGCTCTGCCTTCAGAAACCAAATGCAGCATTTGTAATGGGCAGAACATTTACACGGCGCTTTCGCCTTCAAATCGCCCAGCTCTCAGCCTCTGCTAATATTCTCAAGGGGCAGGGTTGGCCCTCGTCCATCTTCGAGATGATTCAGGTTTCCTGGAGAACAAAATGAGCCTCTAATGCCTAATATTTTCTCTCTGACAGATGGTTTCAGATGTATCAAAGCGCTAATCCTTGCTGAGGTATAGGTCTCCAGGAAGGAGAGTTTGGCTTTTCGAATGATAGGACTTGAATGATTAAGGAGGAAAATTACTCCCTGGGTATCCACTACCGTCATTGTGAGCAACCAGTTTAAAATGAAGGAAACCAGCAGATTCTGAAAAAAGATCCGAGGCAACAGGAGAAGAAAAACCCAAAACCCAGGTTAACAGTTCAGGTTTGAAACATTTCCGATGTAAATGAAGTGCAATAAAAGCACTTTTAAGCACAAGATAAGCAGGGTTCTATCTGCCTCCCCCCACATCACCATTTCCAGCTTGAGGGTGTGGAAGAGTCCAGGATCTGGTGCCAAAGGCCTGGGTTGCTGCCTTGCCACTTCCTAGCTGTGTGACCTTGGGCACATCACACAACCTCCCTGAGTCTCAATTTCTTCATCTGTAAAACGGATCCTATCTATTTCAAAGTGACGTTGGGGAAATTAAACAATCCAATGCATGCCTACCTTGGCATATAATAGGCTGTCAGTGAATGCTAACTTAAAGAGAGTCCCTAGAGGTGCAGTGGTTAAAGCAATTCAGTGGTTAATCAAAAGGTGGACAGTTGAACCCACCAGTTGGCTTTCTCAGTAGGAGAAAGATATAGCAGTCAACTTCCCCAAAGATTTACAGGCTTGGAAACTCCATAGGGCAGTTCTACTCTGTCCTGTCGGGGCCATGAGTGGAAATCCACTGGAGGACTAAGCGTTTGGCGTTCTGGTTTGCATGCTAACTATGAGTATTACAGTTGTTGATGCCACTGAGTCAATCACACCTCATGGAAACCCCCTGTGCAGATTAGCACTGCACCGTAGGGTTTTCAAGGTCGTGACCTTTCAGAAGCAGATGTCTCCCAAGAAGTCTCTAGGTGGGTCCTAACCACCAACCTATCGGTTAGTAACCAAGCACTTCACCATTTGCGCCTCTCAGGAAACCTTAACTATGGATTTGAAGTAGTAGTGTTTTACTGTTCACCTACTAGGTGCTGAATGTTTACACAGATGATACCACTTCTGAGCCTCCCTATAGCCTCGAGGCAGTTAGTTATAATATTGTCCGTTTTATAGATGACCATGTTGAGGGTCCAGGACATTAAGCGCTTTTCCACCGTCACAAAGCTGCACAGCGCGGAACTCTAACGCGGGATCTGCCTGACTCGCGAGTCGAGTGCTTTCCACCACACCACGAGGAGCTGAGAAAGGTGGGGGGTGTGGGGGTTACCGGACAGGCCACCGCGCGGGGTCAGAGGTCACTCACGGTACTCCTCCGGCTGCATTAGGGGCCGGAAGTAGATAGGGTAGAAGGCAGCACCGAGCAAGGAGACGAAGCCGCCGAAAATGAGCGCGGTGCGCAGGTTCCGGCGCATAGTGCGGGATCGGGGGGCTACCTTGCCCCGCTGACGGTCCCGCACTCCCGGAATCCCTGCTTCTGGAGGTCTGGTCGTGACCCCGCTGAGACTAGACCAAGCGGCTTTTGCTTCCGGGCCTTGGGGGCGGGACTAGGAGGCGGGGCGGGCACCGGGCGGGGCTAGGGGAGGAGGTGTGTTGGGGGCGGGGCCTAGAGGCCGGGGTGGAGCTAGAAGCGGGGCATGGACTCGGCGTGGGATGGGGAGCAGGTGGCGAGTTTGGACTGGAGCTCTTGCTGTGCTGGGTTCCTGTGGCCCTGTTGTGGTCTCTTCTCTGACCTCTTCTCCGCACTGGGCCTGGTTCCTCTTTCAGCCGCGCCACCCACCACCCTCTAGACCTCTTTTAACCAACCATTGATTGACTTACCGGCTCCCCCCCCATTGATTTATTAGTTGTTAGTTGTGGCATAGTGCCTAAGGCATTTGACTGCTGAGTAGAAGGCTGGCGATTCAAACCCACCAGCCACTCCTAGCAAGGAAGATTGGACAATCGATTTCCGCAGTGATACCTTCTTGGAAACCCAGGGAAGGGTCTCTATGAATCGGATCCGACTCCAAAGCAGTGAGTTTGAGTTTGTCACCACGAATGGTATGTTTTCTCTGGCGCACTTGTTTAATCCTATGTGTCCTCCCATTTTACAGGAGTTGTTGTTGTTGTTATGTGCCCTCGAGTCGGCCCCGACTCATAGCGACCCCTCCTTGGGTTTCCGAGGCAGTATCACTACGGAAGTAGGATTGCCCAACCTTCCTTCCGAAGAGTGGCTGGTGGGTTTGAACCATCAGCCTTCTGGTTAGCAGTCAAGTGCCTTAGGCACTATTTTACAGGAGAGGGAACCACAACTCTGCTGTACTGTTTTGGCAGAGTCATGTAGCCTCTATGAAGTCTTATGGTGATTATGGAGTCCCCGATTACTGCAAAAGGAGCTCTGGTGATGCAGTGGTTAAAGCATTCCATCTGCTAACTAAAATGCTTCAAACCCATCAGCCACTTTGCAGGAGGAAGATGAAGCAGTCGGCTTCCTAAAGACTGATAGCCTTGGAAACCCTATGGGACAGTTCTATTCTGTCCTGTAGGGTGGGTATGAGTCGGAATTAACTCGATAGCAGTGGGTTTGGTTGTTTTGAGTGCTGCAAAGGCTTAATAGCTGGGCTGCTGATTGAGAAGTTGGAGGTCCCAGTCTACACAGAAGCACCTTGGAAGAAGGCCTGGTGTCCTACAGTGAAAACTTCATGCATAGAAAACCCTAAGGAGTACAGTTCTGTTCTGACACCCATGGGCCAATGCAAGTCAGAATGAACTGGACAGCAACCAGTTACAGAGACTAGGGACAAACTGCCTGGCCCAGGCTGGCCCAGGGGCATTCTGAAACCTGAGGCACAGGAGCAAGGCTAGCCTGGAAAGAATGCTGTTTCCAAATCCAAAGCTCTTCTCTAACGTTGATTCTCCATCCACTCCTCTCCCTCTGTTCTCCTTGCTGGGATGTCATGGCTAAGAGACTGGATAGGGAGCATAGTCAGAATCAGGGCAGGTCAGACAGCCAGCAGCTAGTCCCACCCACAGACCTTGGGGTCTGCCTTATTGCACAGGGTGGGGCCACTGAGGACAGACACCTGCCCCATCATCCTGTGATCACTGTCCTCACCCTCTTTACTTCACCCCCTTCCAGGGGGGCTGTGATGCATATGACCTACCTAGGGCACTGGGCAGCCTAGACTAAGGGTCTTTGCACCTGTACTCAATTCTCTATAAATAAGGATGATACCAGGAGCTGGGATGGGAGAGTGAAGAGCATATTTATCTTGACTCAGCAGTGTTATATAGTCCAAAAAAGATCTAAGATCTTTCAGAAATGTGGAGAGTACAGCTTTGCTCTTTCTTTGTAGTCTTGTACTTGAATCAAATACTATCTACCTCTGTGGTTCCAGAAGCATAAAAATCAGTTGTTTGATCTGTCAGCAGATGTATGGACTATCTGTCATGCCCCAAACACCAGGCAAAGTGTTACAGGGGACACAAAGAGGAGTAAGATGTGACCCCTGCTCTCCAAGATCCCGCTGCATAGATGAAGAGACAGGACATATACACAAAAAGGTAACTGATGAGTCCTGTTGCAGCCTGTTGTGGATGAGTGAGCCAGTACTGCAGGCTGCCAGTGTTCAAAGGAGGGAGACAGATGACGGGGCTGGGGCAGCTGCTCTTCAGGCACTTGGAGGAGATTGTAAGGGTGAGGACAGAAGGTAGAGAGGGTGCCTGATACATGCGTTATAGCACTTGATATAAAATACCCAGGCACGGTGCACGTTTGTCATTTTAACAACCCAGCATCCGTTTCCCACCTTTCTGTTAATAAAAACCAAACTGCTTGCCATAGATTCTGACTCTTAGAGACCTCAAACGTTACAGGGTAGAACTGCTCTCAGACTTCATGGCTGTGACCTTTCAGAAACAAATCTCCAGGCCTTTCTTTTGAGGCACCTTTATCTGAGTGGGTTCAAACTGCCATTCAGTTTAGTTGTTCTTATGTGCTGTTGTATGTACAACAGAACGAAACACTGCCCGGTCCTGTGCCACCTGCACAATGCTTGCTATACCTGAGCCCATTGTTGTAGTCACTGTGTCAATCCATCTCATCGAGGACCTTCCCTTTTTTCGCTGACCCTCCACTTTATCAAGCATCATATCTTTCTCTAGGGAGTCATCCCTTTGGACAACATGACCAAAGTAGGTAAGATAAAGTCTGGCCATTCTTGCTTCCGGGGAGTATTCAGGCTGTACTTCTTCCGGGACAGATTTGTTTATTCTTCTGGCAATCCATGACACTTTCAGTATTCTTCACCAACACCACAACTCAAAAGCATCAACTCTTCTTCAGTTTTCCTTATTCATTGTCCAGCTCTCACATGCATATAAGGCAATTGAAAACACTGTGGCTTGGGTTAGGTGGACCTTAGTTTTCCAGGTCCCTCTTCAAAGGGACAGCTTTGCTTTTCAGCACTTCAAAGAGGTCTTTTGAAGCAGATGTGCCCAGTGCAATACATCGTCTGATTTCTTGACTGCTGCTTCCATTGGTGTTGATTGTGGAACTAAATAGTATGACATCTTTGACAACTTCATTCTTTTCTCCATTTATCATTTTGGTTAGGAGGGGAGTGCTTAACCATTTGTGCCACACAGGGACCCCTTTTTTCTGTTAATAATAACCCAGATATCTTTGGAAGTAGCACTCCTCTCCCAATCTCAGGCAGTGGGCTAAGCTGGGGCTCTCCCTTGTCCAGCCTCCACCCTGCATCTTTACTTCCTCCCAGCTCTGAAAGTTAAGCATATAATGATATCAAGCATATATTCAAGCTTGGCCAAACTCCTGAGCTGTAGAAGTTGGTTGGCACAGGTCTCAGGCTTGAGACACCTTCCTGGCCACATGACCCAACCATAGTCTCTCTCAGCCAGGTACTTGAAAGCTGGATTTGAACTTGAGACTCTAGAGCTATAGGGGCACCATTTAGAGACTGAGAATGAAATCAGCACAGCAGAAGGAAAGTTTAGTCATAGAAGCTAATGTTATACTAAGCCCCTGAAGCCAGCCATATCTGAAATAAGACTTACTCCTGGGCTTCTCAGTAACATGAGCTAATAAAGCTCCCACTTCGTGTAAGTCAGGTTGAATTGTTCAGTTCTGATTTTTACAACAGGCAGATTTGATTTCATTTGCTTAACATCCCCATGAGCTGCAAATCAAGGCTTACCCTACCTTATAGACGAGGTCACTGAGAGCCAGAGACCTGAACTCTTTCAGGGCACATACCATTGGCTGAGCCAGGACAAGGACTTAGTCTCACGATTTTTCATCCAAAGTGCTCCCCTATGACATGTCTCTGTGAGCAACTTGACCCCATCTGTGAGGCTTCTGGGGACCAGTACGATGAGTACTAGGATAATGGGGTGTCCTGGTGAGGTACTGGAGTCCCTGGGTAGTGCAAATAGCTAATGAGCTCAGCTGCTAACAAAAAAGTTGGAGGCTCAAGTCCACCCAGAGACTCCTTAAAAAAAAAACCTGACAGTCCACTTCAGATAAATCAGCCATTGAAAACCCTGCGGAGCACTGCTGTACTCTGACCCACATGGGTCGCCATGAGTCAAAGTGGACTCAATGGCAACTAGTACTGATTGATGAGATACCAAGAACACCTCCAAGGATGGCCCAGGACCAGTATGGCAGATGAGCCATCCCCTCTTCAAGGTGATGTGATGAGTCATTGTTTCTCTGACCCCTTAAGGTAGATCTAAAGGCTTATTATTATTATTATTGTGATTTGGTGAAGATTTACAGAGCAAATTCACTTTCCATACAGCAGTTCACATACACTTTGTCTCACGACATTGACCA